TGAATACTTGTTTTAATCGTTTCCACACTATATCTGTGCCATCCATGCATGTTTTATTAAATAAATGATAAAAAATATGCTTGTTTTGCCTGACGAAAACCTTATTTCCTGGATTTCTGCATTTCCGCAGACTTCTGGAGTTCTTGTTCTAAGAAACTCATTTCGCAGTTTATTGCTTTTCTGAATCGAATCCCCAACACTTTCATTTTAATAAGGGCTTGCAGTTTCATTTAAATTGTTCATACGGAAAACATTGGTCATGTATATTTTTGAAAATAGTCAAGAATGCAGCTTACGCTTCATCGGCAGAAATCCGTGGCGTAACCAGGAATGTTTTTCAGGGGGGGGGGGGGGGAGGAAGCCCCATGAGCCTCCCCCGTGGCTACACCACTGCGGTAGATGTGGCAGAAAGAAAATAGACGTTTACAAATCTCTGTAATGCGAAACTAGCGCGGAGCTCTTGAGGAGGAGAAGGGGAGGGTACGGGGGACGGTATGACTCTCCTCCTTCTCCGTACCCTTCCCTCCTACTCCCTCCTCTTTCCGTCCTCTTCCTCTTTTCCTTCTCCTCTACTCCTCCCCCCGTAAAATTTTCCCGCCAACTTTCCCCGCTAAATTTTGCCGGTTAAGTTTCCTCGCTAAATTTAGCGGAGAAATTGACGTCACGTGACCTCAAGACCACTTCAGTTTCCTCACTAAATTTAACCAGGAGAATGACATCACACGACTTCGTGTCACGTCACCCATGAACAAATTCAGTTTCTCCGCTAGATATAGCGGGAACATTGACGTCATGTGATCTCAACACCAATTCAATTTCCCGCTAGATTTAGCGGGGCGGCTACGCCGACGGCGACGCCACTTAACGCAGAAACGGGTGCCTAAGAGCTGCGCTTTAAAACACTCCGAATTCGTAAAAGAAATAACTAAGCTAAACCTTTCTAGAGTAGCGGTATTGAGGCTAGTCATAAAAGCGGGTTCTTCATCTTTTTACGCCACCTAAATGACTTGGGTCGCAAAATGACCTTAGGACGAAGGAGTGTCAACTCTACATTTGTAAGGATAACATAAAGGCCGCCAGGAAAAATATCACTGTGCCGAGCTGTTTGACAAATACCCTACTACCGGTGTCTATTGCCTTGACTTGGCGACACACTTTAGCACTCATAAGCATATAATGTGTGTTATACACTGCTAACCTTTGAATAGCGGTGTAGAATGCACGTGTGTAGTTAGTGTTATTGTGTGGTGGGTGTAGAGCAAAGTTTTCAGCGCTTCGGCTCTCTGTCGCCACGGTTCATTTTGCAGGATGCGGATCCGAGCATTGTTTCCTCACTGCCGAGTAGGATTAGATTAAAACTTGTTGTTGGTCTATTTGGTTCATGATGCAGTCTAGAGGGTTTTTGGCGCGACACAAGGGACAATCACAAGCGAGTAGACACGGAGGGTTCGTTTCCTATGAACTCAGTGAAGGCTGGTTTAAGCGTCTGCTTTTGACTGTGACCGACCTTACCGACTGCGTTACGACCACCTGTGACCGCACACTTCGGACGATATGGTTGAGGTGGCAACCAAGGTTCTCGAAACGCGTTGTGGTGGAACGCGAAAAGTCGCTTCAGTGTCAAAGTAAAACGCGAAGACCAGAAAAACAAATTACAGGGTGTCACAAAAGAAAATTTACAGGGTCTTTTTAACCGCAAAAATAAACTAGGCATCGCCGAACGCTCATTCTCCGCCCAAAGGTAGCGCTAGAGGTCACAACCAGATGCCAAAGTTTCAGTCCGATCCGATAACTTATTCAAAAGTTATAAGTGATTTTCTGAAAAGTTCAATGGGGAAAATGGCGGCCGACGTAGTTTTCGAATACACGGGGCTCTATGGGCACCAGAAACCGAAAACTGGCAAAAATGGGCTCCATTTTCCCATGGAAATTTTCAGAAAATCACTTTTAACTTTTGATTAAGTTATCGGATTGGGCTGAAACTTTGGCACCTGGTTGCGACCTCTACCATTGGGCGGAGAGTGAGCGTTCGGCGATGCCTAGTTTATTTTTGCGGTAAAAAAAAACCCTGTAAATTTTTTTTTTGTGACACCCTGTATGTAAAAGGGCGCGCGCGCGCCTTCGAGGACGATCCCGGGGACCTAAACGTCGATATGTCAGCGAGGTTGGTTGCTAAGGGCGAGATAAGGCAGTCGTCGCGGTGTCTGCTCGACTGCGGGGGGCGTCGCGAGACAGCTGTGTCCCGAGTTTTCTCGCCCCTCGGAGTTGCGCAAGCACTGGCGGTCCCGCTGCGTCAGCTCGACGCGGGTCCGCCTCGGTCCGTGGCACGCACCCGTGCGGGAAGTGCGTCATACCGGACCAAGGCCGGAGAGATTGCGATGCGGCGAGTAAAAGAAAATACTAGGGGTCACGGTCGACGAGCTGAAGCGTCGGCGATGGTGTCGACTTGCGCAGATATTGCTCTTGCACATCTGTGTCTCACCCTTGTTTTGGCATTGGGCTTCTGGGAGCCAGGGTTCGGTGTCAAGCGATTCGGTCCCAAATATTGCTGTACGACTTCGCTCGAAGGACGGGTACGCCGCTTTAAAAGTAACCCTAGACTCTCGGAAAAATACCTGAAAGGAAATAGTTTACGGGCGCACGATTAAGAAATTGACGCAACTGAAATTTTTCCGAATGCTCTAGCCGCCTTCCACAGACTCATCTTCCGGTAAAAAGGACAGTCACCATACTTGGAACAAATGGAAAGCCGCTAACGCGAAAGCGCAATTATTCGAAATGTGTTTGAATTAACAACGCTGCGCACCATGCTCCACGCAGTACCTAACCGGAAATAAGTATTCTGAAGTTGGAGACAACGGCGATGATGTTTCGATCAACGAGCGAACCAAGATAAATATGATAAAAAATACACGTTTCATACGGCGACTAAATCAGGAATCAGTCGGCGAAACGAAACGCGGAGGCTCGGTCGGCTGTTGCTGGCTGTAGACTCCGTCGAGAAGCTTCCACACTCCGATTACTCCTACTCGTTTGCTTTTAGCTCGAAATGTTCACAAAAACAAAAAAACAAACAAAAAAAAAATAATTCTGCAAAAAGAAAAATAATGCAAAAAAAAAGAAAAAACCGTTTTGGGTAGCAATTTTATATCAGACGATGGTAGTTCGATGTTGGACCACAGCACACTGGCTTACGTAGACATGGCTGGCATTACTCGCCTTTCGGAAGTATCGACCCGACGCTTGCAAGCAAGGAACAAAGCAAAATTGTGCTGTGACGAAACCATGACACGAGCATAGAAAAAAAAATCATTCGTACAACGTGAAAGCTTGAGGTCACGATAAACGCCTGGAAAAGGCTATTCCCGCTGGGCCTTACACTTTGTAGTTGGGATTACCAAGTTGGCGTAGATCACTGCACAGTGCAAAATAACGAGCTGTTAACCTGTGGCGTTAATTGGTGGCCGAGCCCGTGCCAGACTGAGCTGAATCATTTAGCCTATAAAGCAGCGACTTGTACACTGAGCGACGATGTTATCACTGACACAATTTCGTATTTTACTTCGAAAGGGTACTGGCGAATTTACATTCACCACTTTGGTTACTACCTCAACTGATAACTTTACACCACTATAGCTGTTTTGATGGCAGTCTCTCAATGCTAAAGAAAAAGAAGAGAGACAACCGGCGATGGCTGCTTCGCGCTAACAGTGACGCGGAGTGTACTCATGATGCAGTAAAAGTATCAATATATTATATCTAGGTCTCACGTTAATGCGCCATACGCCGACATCCAACGCACGACATGGTTAACACGAAGGATGGATTATTGGATTTTCCTATTTTTCATAGCACGTTTTAAAACGTTGAGATCCTATATCAAAAGAAACTGCTGGGTCGAGGAGCCCGTGAGGGGGGACCACCGAGGGGGGGACCCATTCGGACACGACGTGGTGTTCCATCTGGTGCCCACATCACGTGTCGCGTCTACACCACGTGGTGTTGCACGCGGTGTTCACGTGAAATACCAAGTGGACACCACGTGGTGTTTCATGTGGTGTCCACACCGCGTGAACAGCACATGGTGTTGCACGTGGTGTCCAGATGGAATACCAAGTAAACACCACGTGGTGTTCCATGCAGTATCCCCACCGCGTGCCGTGTCTACAACACGTGTGTTGCACGTTGAATCCACACTGCACTACCACGTAGAAATCACGCGTGATTGCCGGTACTTGGCAGTCCCTGCAATACCCCCCTGGGTCCCACGTCGGTCGGGTGTGAGCATGCTTATGTCGGGCTGACCACACAATAGGGAGTTTTCGTAGATCGCGTTTCCACCTCCGCTAAGCCCTCCACAACCAAGAAGTAGCTACTGCGCCTGCGCGCCGATAGCCTTGACTGTAGAGTTCCGGATATCGTAGCGGGTTGCGGAGGGCGTTGCGGAATGGCGAAAACGGTCTACGAAAACTTCCCAATGCCTTGTGGGCTCCACCTCGGTTTTTGGAGAGCAAATTTAGCGTAGTTGTGGGTGAATCGGGGGAACGCCCAATTGGGCCGCCAACGCAGTACGCCGTGGGTCCCACTTGGCTACCCGTGGGCATAACGAAAATAATCCCTGGAGAAGGGGAACAAGAGGAACAAAGGACAAACACAAATCTCCAAACACAGCTAGGTGACTGGTGCGCGACCGAAAAATTCCGCCTCGTCCGGGTATCGAACCCGCGACCTCTAGTGGAGCGTTCAAGTTGGGCATGCCAAACTTGAATTGCACACGCAAAGCCCCCGTTGATCCCACTTCGGCTTTACGGGGGCAGAGTTTGTACAGAGGTGGGCTCCACGGGTACATGCCCGACTTGGGCTGCCCACGCAATGCCGCCCTGCTCCCACCGTGGCTATACGGGGGCAAACTGGATGTACGACAAGGCACTGACTATGGATCCTGGTCAATGAACACATTTCCAACAGAAATTTGCAACAGGCGTTTGTAGTTCACTTACCTGTCTTCACGTGGCGTATTCAACTTCATTTCATTTTAACGCCGTGCGCAAATTCCCGCCAAAGCAGAGTGTGTGCCGAGCGAAACAAAAAAAAAAAAAAAAACGTCTACCGATAACTTGATCTCTCTCTGTTATGCCCGTGTCCCAGTAGAGCGACAGACAGAAACAAAAGACAGCGACAAGCCTCAAACCCATGCAGCATGCTCGTGATGGTACGTTTGGCAGCCGTTTAGTTGTTCGGTGCTCGTAAAGTAAGCACGAGCGATTGCAAGCCTGCGGAAGCCACCCTCGCGTGCATGATGCTCGCGTTTGAGCATAGCTTTCTTTATTTTACAAAGCCTCTCAAATCGCGAAAGACTCTGGTTTGAGGCTTTCGTTGCCTTTTGCTTCTGTATGTCGCTGTAGTGGGACACGGGCATTACCATTTCATGGAGACACTGCGATCTAATAGAGAACATAGGAACTCCTCAGCAGTCATCGCACGCATTTCTATAGTTCTTGTAGTTGACACGGAGTGGGGCGTATTTAGGCACCTCCAAATATAGCTGCGTTGTGAGTGAGTATTTGGCATACAACATAGGCTATTATTAGTGGCTGATTCCGAACAGGAAGTATCTAAGGATGGGTTGACAGTTTAAATACTCCAGGCACATGATTCTTTACGCGTTGATATCCGTACAGTTTCTGCCTGGTGCAATGTTGTCACCTATAAAAAGAGCGGATGAATTTAGAACAAAAAATAATTCGTTTATTGAGGCGAATTTGCGCCTACAAACATAAATATAAAAAGGGGCCACGCATCTTGCGTCGGCGACGGAAGGGTGACTGACACGAAGCAGCCCGTCTTTATCGCTACTCTTATGCACGCGGCACGATCAGGAATGTTCTGAACAAGAACACTAGATGACAGTCGGAAATGAGCTGGGATTTATGAGAAGATTACAAAACGAATAAAGAGAATGAGGGCCGAGTGGGATTCAAACCCCATTCCTCTGTTTGTTTTCCGTGTGCGTTGCCAACTCCGTCACGCACGTGGCAATATCGCCTATGACTCATCTTTAGGTTCAGACACAGCCGACGCTAAGAGCTGATGCGACCGATCGGACGGCATGAAAAGCGCACTACGTGCACTTTCAAGAAAAAAGGGTGTACTAGGGTGCATCGTTACACCTTTTGTCCCATATAATACACCCCAAAACTTCAATTCGACATACAGCGCCCTACAGTCAAACAGACGGCCCGAAATTTTACGAGGGGCTTAATAGCTGTGTGATACAACTTATTAAAATAGCTCAAGTACGTGTGTCTGACTACAAAAAAAAATAATAATAATAATTGTCGGGGTTTTCTTGGCCCTACTGTAAAAACTCGGTGTTTTCTTTATGTGGTCTTTGATACGTACTTTAGCTACTTAATAAGTTGTACCACACGGCTATCAAGCCTCTCGTAAAATTTCAGCCCGTCTGTTCAACTGTAGGGCGCTGTACGTCGAATTCAAAGTTTGGGGTGTATTATATCAGACAAAGGGTGTAACGATACACCCTTTTACACCTTTTTTTTCTCGAGAATGTGGGGGGTTCGTCATGGTTTTGTACGTATTCTATCATCGCTGCAGTGAGCCTTTCACAAGCAGAAACATTTCTAGAGAGTTGCGCTTTTGACGCATGGTTTATTGGTCGCATCAGCTCGTAGCTTCAGCTGCATCTGGACTTAAGATGAATAGAAATATAAAAGCTATGGCTTATGCGGCATTCACACCACGCTCGAATGTGCAATATTTAAGTTTATTAAATTTATATCATCTATGCAAGGTGTTTATTTCAGGATTTTCACGTCGGTTTTAAAAAGCCGCTAAGGTTACACTAATGCGGTATAATACGTAAGTTGCATGGCCAGGGGGACATTACATGGGTGGCTAATCGTCGCGATAAGTTGAATAATTCTTTTTCAATAGTTTTCTTAGTAAACATAAACATGTTGTTCGAATTAGAAACTTGCTGGGCGTCACCGAAAACCACTAAATAAGTAAATTATAAAATAATCGTGGCACATTGGAAACGCGGCGGTGCGCTACGCTTACCACTCGTGGAACCGGCACAAGGCTGGCGGTTCGACAACGCGATTGATAATTTCCTAATCCGCGTAAATCGTGCCTAATAAAAAAAAAGAATCATCCTATAGTGCGAAGGCTGCTTCACACAGACCCGTATACTTACGTTACGTTACGTTACGTTACGAAAAGTCACCGGGAAATCAGTGCTTCGTATTAGGCGTAGCTACCAATTCAAGGAGATAGCCTGGCACGCGACATTCAAGACACGAATGTTTCGGTGACGACGAGCTCGGACGGTGAGTTACCGCGGCAACCAAGGACAGAAGGCTCGCCATAACCTAACGTAAGGAGTTGAACTCGGCTCAACTTTTCACACAGCACCGTTTTCTTACGTCGCGTTTAAGTCACCGAAACATTCCTGTATTGGCAGCGAGATGTTTTGGTGGCGCCCTCCTATGGTTACCTTTCGTGACGTCATTACCTTGTGAACAACAAGTTTGACGGTGTTTGTAAAGAGCTAGGTGGAAGCTTGAAATCATAGCACTCTCAAACCAACACTGCCAACACTGTCACAATTGAAGTTCTTCCATTCTTCTAATTTCCGTCGATGGGAAATTCTTTGCTGACGTCATAGTCAGCATTCGGCCTATCGTGGAAGACCGATCACAGCGACGCTTTCGATCGCCCACGACGCCAATAGAATGTCGGGCGCCAGGCTATCTCCTTGAATTGGTAGCCACGCTTACTACAGAGCACAGATTTCCCGGTGAATCGTAGCACCGTTGAAAATTGGGCGAGTTGGTTATGCATAGTTACAAAGAAGGAAGCAGTGCCAAAAGTATGGAGGATAATGAACGATAGACACACAAACCAAGCGCTGAAAAAAAAAAAAAACAAGAAAAAAAAAAACAAAAACAGCGCTTGGTTTGTGTGTTTCTCGTTTTTTGTCCTCCGTACTCTTGGCGCTGTTTCCCTCTTCCAGGGGGCTTTTCGTAACGTAACGAAACGTAACGTAACAAAAAACGGGTCTGAGCGAACTAGCCTTATAGCATCAACTCAAAGTGAAAATGGTTCGCCCGTTTTTACATATTCATCCATCTTTTGAAATTGGAGAACCAGCGCCTTCCCAGGAAACTTTTTCGGAACAAGCCAGTTCCCAAATAAAAGTGGAATGTATACCGGCGTCCGCGAGAAACCCGAACCCTGTTGTTCGCACCGCAAAAATAAACTAGAGATTGCGTAGAGCTCACACTCCTCAAGAAGCTAGCCCCAGCCGTTTGTGCAATATGCCAAAGGTTCAGCACCAACCGTTATCTTATTCAAAAGTTATAAGTGATTTTATGTAATGTCAGTGACAAAATGGCGGACGACGGAGCTCTCGAATATATGGAGCTCTGTGGCGCCAGAAAAAGTCACTTATAACTTTAGAATAAGAAAACGGTTGGTGCTGAAACTTTGACATCTTGCTGGAACGGCTTGGGCTACCTACTGACGTAGTTTGAGCTCTCCGAGATGTCTAGCTTAGTTTTGCGGTACGAGGAACAGGGTGCCAAATATTTCGGAAGTCGGGAATCATGATGATCAAAGAAACTGCGCGGTACTATGTATACTCTGTTTCATACTTAGCTTGCAACGCTGTCAAAGCTACTGGCGCGAGCGCGTGGCTTTATCTATGGTTTTGTTTGCCCGAGAACGCGTGCAAATTATCAACGTTCCGCGTTGATAATTTGCCATCGAAAACCCGTTCCGCGGTTTTTCGATGGCGTGGGCGTAGACGAAAAGCGTCCCCGCTAAATTTAGCGGAAAAATTGACCTCACGTGACCTATGCACCAATTTAGTTTCCCCGCTAAATTTAGAGAAAAAAATGACGTCAAGTGACCGATGCACCAATTCAGTTTCCCCGCTAAATTTGACAGGAAAATTAATGTCACGTGATCTGACGTCCCGGCACCTAAAACAAATTCAGGTTTCCGGCTAAATTTAGCGAAAACATTGACGTCACGTTACCTATTTATCAATTCAGTTTCCCCGCTCAATTTAGCGGAACATGTGACGTCACGTAACCTGACGTCACAGGACCTACAGATATATTCAAGTTCCCCTCTAAATTTAGCGAAACAATTGACGTCACGTGAATTATGCACCAATTCAGTTTCACCGCTATATTTCGCAGAAAACGTTATCTCACGTGATCTGACCCAACAGGACTTACATACATATTTAGGTCCCCGGCTAAATTTAGCGGAAACATTTGACGTCACGTAACCTATGCATCAATTCAATTTCCCCGCTAAATTTGGCTGGAAACACCTCACGGCCCTGAAGGTGCTGTGCAACCATTTTAACTTTGAAAGAATTCGTATTTTCCACTTTTGACATGGTTTATCTTGTCGCAGAGGACAGAAAACACATCTCCTTGCTTTAAAATGTTGCAATTCCGCGCGTAATCACTAGGAAAAAACTGGAATATTTTCCGACCTGCAGCCGCGAGTGGCGGCCTTGAGAACTACGCGGCATGACGTCAATGGGGGACTTGTAAGAAGATAAGAAGTTGTGAAAATACCTGCTCGATAAGAAATAATTTTTCCAACATAAATATAACTGCGTCAAAAACCTGGTATCATCGACAAACTGTTTATTAAGTGGCGCCATCTATTCGAGGCAAACAAAACCGTCAGCTCTATCTACTACCGCGAACAGCCGCCAGAAGTGGGAGGGGGACGGAGGCACAGCCGAATGGGGACGGCCGGATTCGGATGAGACTTTCCTCCTCTCGACATGCTGATCGCTATGCGCAAGCACGTGGTCACGTGGTCGTGAGCGAGTGAGTTCTCGCTGCTATCTGGCGGCACTGGAGAGAGAGGAGTGGTTGTTTGGGCGAGTTGGTTTGATATCTTATACAATCTTGTGCGCAACAAAGACGAGGACAAAAGCAGAGAAGAGGACACAACAAGGCGCAACTTTCAACTGAACTGTATTGAAAACGTGTTCCGGTATATATAGTCTCAACCATCGTCAAAGTGACAACAAAACGACAAAATTAAAGGAAAAACAAAGAAAAACCACCATCACAGAGCATAACTGGGAAACAACACTATCTCATTCTCAGGAAAAACAATTCCT